GACCCCGGGCTGGACTCCACTTCGTCCACGGTGAAAGCCGATCTGGCGATCCACAGCGCGAAGTTGATGTATTTCATTAGCGACCGGCACAGCATGGATCAGCTCCAGGCATGACGAAGCGGCTATCATCCTCTTTTGGAAGGCCAAACAAAGTAGTTTCGCTTTCACAACGAAACACACAGCGTCTCCACGACATGGCGGCGGTGGCAACAACAATACTACAGCGAGAATAAAAGTTACGCCTTCTTTCTTTGCATGAACATTTGGGCTGCATTATGCAAATCTTCCCACATCGTGACGTAGACATGTGGGGGCGTGTTAGAACGAGCCGTTTTAAGTAGGCGTGGTTGACTCTTAACTTTTATAAAGAATATCTCTTTGGATTTGAGACTTTAGTCTTTGCAACTTTACAGATCTTCTTTATGCACCAAGAGCTTCTAACACTCCAAAGAGAAAGGAAAAATTGAAATCGCATCATATGACTCCTTTACAATCTGAAACAGTTATTAGGTTAGCTTGAGAAAGCCACTGCACTGATCTTCTATTTAAGCTGCTTCTTCTTTCTTCTTCGTCTTCTTGCAATGTGCAATATCATGCTAGCATCATGCTAAAATATGTTAGCAGTATGCTAGCGACATGGTAATCATGCTTGAATGATATTAGCAACATGCTAAACATGGTAATCACGTTAGAAACTTGCTAGCAACATGGTAATCATGCTAGAAACATGCTAACAACAAGCTAGTAACACAGTAATCATGCTAGAAACATGCTAACAACATGTTAATCATGTTAACCATATACTATAGGACAAAAACTTGCTAACAACATGCTAATCATGATAACCACATGTTAATCATGCTAGTCCCATGCTAACAACACGGTAATTATGCTAAATAATTGCTAACAACATGATAATTATGATAAAAACATGCTAACAACATTCTAATCTGCTAAATCATGCTAGCATGTCTATCTAAGCATTCACACTTTTTTTATAACTGCTTCAAACTTTCAGGTTAGCCTCAAAGTTTGTTCACAGTCTCATCTAGTTTTAATCTGTAATAAGATTTCACAATATTGTTGGTTTGACCAAATAAATGCAACCTTGGTTCAAAGACTCGTCTTTAAAACAAATCTTACTGACACCAAACTGTTGAACAGTAGTGTATAGTAGCTTCCCCAACACTGGTTGTAAAACACAAAAACACAAGTAACAAAGCACAAAATATGATTTAGAATAATACTTACACAGCTTACAGTGGTGATAGTAACAGAACTAGAGATAAAACTCAGCCCTTCATTCATGCTAACGTAAAGGGAGGCTGCCCTGCAATACACATAATGTAAAAAGTACTTAAATCCTTTGAAAACACTACATTGCATTCCTTAATGTGCCACAGTTAACATTTCTGCCACTAGAAAGAAAGTACAAATATTTATCTGATACACTTACGTTCCCTCCTCTCGAAGAACAGGAGCTGGACAGAGCAGATACGTGTCCTCCACTACCAATGGCTTCACCACTAATAAAAAAGACAAATACACAATCAAATTTCAAACAGCTAGGCAAATAATGCACATATTTGCATATTGCTATCTGATTCCTTGCATAAGAGGACAGCTGCAGTTGTTGAGGAAACACTGCATATCATTTTCAGTCATTGCAAAACATATCAACTACATTTTATCAAACTGAATTAAAATGTTCAAGGCTAGAACCTAGAATCAACTCTTATGCAAGGCACTTAACCCCTGGTAGCCCTAAAGTATCCAAAAGGAAAAGAAGTGGGGCCACGGCCGGCGGGCTTGTGAATGCCGCGACTGGCAGGCTTGGCTTCGGAACGGCCGGCAGGCTGGAGAGTGCCGCAGCCAGCAGGCTTGACTGAGGAATGGCCCGGCAGGCTGGAGAGAGCCACGGCCGGCGGGCTTGACTTCAGCTTGACTTTGGAGTGGCCGGCGGGCTTGACTGAGGAATGGCTGGCGGGCTGGAGAGAGCCGTGGCCAGTGGGCTTGACGGTGGGCTGGTTCTGGCTCAGGCCCCGGACACTCCCCACCGGTAGATCCCTTCCCTCCAACATAGTCCCGTGGTGTCTGGGAGGTCCATGGGGCAATGGTAGTTGGCCCAGAGCCAGAACAGCGAATTGATGGGGGAGTCATCCAATGCCGTCGCCGCGGCGAGCCTGCAGAATTCCCAGGCATACTCGAAGAAGGGAAGATCTCTGCTGGCTAAGGCTGAGAAACGAGCTGCGATTTCCATGATCGTGGAGGGAAACAAACAGGAAACAAAAACTGTTAAAAAAAAACAGAAAACAAACAAGGGGAAAGGGGGTGCCACTTACTGTTCTGTTTTTGGTCTGGAATTCTGTCACGGTGTGCCTACTGTGAAGGAGCGAGGAGACGAAGGAGATTCCAGAATTATCACAGACTTTATTTACGACATAGAAAACCACATGTAGGACACAGGGATCGACGTACACAGCTGGTATCAAATAAACACAATCAGGGCAGGAACAGGAAGACCAAATAAGGGCAAGGAAGGCACATGGGGAGCAAAACACACACAAAACAAGGAACAGTCTGACAGTCTGAGCCTTTCGAGAGGGAAATGGCCACTGGGATGAATTCAACAGCCCTTGTGTCTCTTATGAAATCATCTGGCTGCTTGAGGATTTTCGAGGTTAAAGAAAGGAAATGTAAGTCAAAGCCAGCAAGTCTAAACACCCCAAACCGCCCCCAGTCCATTCACTGACTGTCTGATGCATACTGTCTGGCAGATGTTCAGAGATGTTCAAAATACATAAAAAAGGATGTATATGATGAATAAGCAGCACTGACCTGAAATGATAAGTTGGTATAGTCAACTGGCCTGTAACTCCTATAAAGGCCATCCTTGTGTTTTGGTTATTTTTGTGTTTTGGTTATTTTCTGTGGAACTGATCATTTTTTCTATTAACGTGATTTCAGCTATTTAAGATTTATCATTTGTTAAATGGTACATAAAACAAATTCACAATCTCTGAAGCAAAGTTGTCCCAGTTTAAATGGAAACTACAACAAATAGCATATTTGGCATTACCATTTGCTCCAATAGCAAAATAAAAAATAAATAAACATGTCTATTGACTTTCCAACTTGTATTTGGCAGTACACATGCGCTAGCATTTGTGTCAAAACTAAAGTATACACTTTGGGCTTTAGTGTAACATCACACACTTCTCTTCTGTAGCACAAGGGATTGTGGGCAATATTGACCCAATGAGCATGCAAAGGTGCACATTAGTACACGTATAAAACTGTATAACATCAAAGCAAATCCAAGGTCAGACAAAACTGAACACCTGGGGAATAGGCAGTATTTCTTTACTGAGGTTTTTGCTGTTAATAAAGCTTCCAACCTTCTTAGAATAGATTCATACAACTTCTGAATAATCTACCATTTGATGTTGTACAGATTGGAGGAAGGAATCAGCTTCTCACTCTTCTCTCCAAAACTATCCACACTCCACAGTGGTTTGATAATATTCAAGTCAGGGGATTTGTCTGGTCAGGGCAGATGTTGAAGTTCATGTTGGTGCTCCAACTGTTCAGGTTTTATGATTATGACACCATCTTTTTCACATTTTCTCATTGGTGTCTGTAATTAAAGTTTTAGCTCTTTCATGGGTGTCGGCTTTGGGAAGTTCTCTGTGAGGAAACAGGGTCTTTAAAAGGACTATTGCGGTTTGCCGTCACTTTGCTGCAGTAATTCGGTGTTGTTTGGACACAATCCTTAGTGTTTGATAGTCCCTATCATTCAATTTCAGTTTCAACCACTATTCTTCAGAAGTCTTGCCATGCTTTACATACTTCACTTCATAATCGTAAAGACTGTTGTTCTTAACGCACTAAACAATTGGGCTGTTAGGGTTACAGACACTTCTGCTAAATGGGTTCCCATGATCTGTCCTGTTTGGAAATCTGACCGTCACTCATTTCACACAAGACTTGTACTAAGCACAACTTACACTACACTGATACACAAACTAGAGAATACAGACAACAAAAACATAAAACATTATTACAGCATTTTTTTTACTGTAGCCTACACAAATAATATTAACCCATATAATAATGGGTATTCGTATTATTTTGTCCAACCATGTATGCCATAATATTTAGATGCACTAATACTCATATTCTATTATCATGGTTCAAAGCATTTTTTTATGCAATATTTATGCGAGAAAATTTGCCAGACAGCATTCTTTAAAAGACCGTTTGCAATTTTGAATGGTTGAAGCCAACAACTTACTGCTAAATAAAATGAAATCAAATGTTTAATTTATTTTAAGTGCCTTTTTAAAGTTCCAACAGCACATTTTGGGGTTTTTCAGTCTCTATAAAACCACTGTGTTAAAGGTGTGTGATTGCGTAAGGTATGTAATGTAAGTGTATATTTTTTAGTTATTAAAATCAACATCAATTTGATCAAGTGATGACTTTCTGTATCAAACCTATTATACCTACTTTTCGCTGCTTGAACAGACCTTAATGCTGTGGCTCAAGCGGTTGATCTAGTGAGAACTGTACTCACCTCCAGCACAGATACTGGAAGGTTCTGCAGCAAGGATCTCTATGCAGGATTTCTTCAAGATCTGATGGGTACAAAGAGAAACTCAGTAGGTGGACAACTAGGTCAGCTGAGCTAGTAAAGATAAATGACCATTCAGTTCAATGTCTTTAAAGGGCCAGTTCACACAAAATGGACAATTCTGTCATCATTTACTCACCCTTGACTTGTTCCTTTGTTCTACTGAACACAAAAGAATATAGCAGTGTTTCCCATACATTGATTTAGTTGTGGCGGCTCGCCACAATATCAAAACTGACCGCCAAAAATAGATTTTCCAAATGGCTTTAACTTCGTTGAATAAACATGAGCTCTGCACGGTTCAAAATCAAAATGTGGCATGGGTGTTTTTATATGAATGTGTTTCTGAAGGGAACCGAATGTCTTCAGAAAAGCATCGATGCACTGATCTATATAATGACTTTATATTATAGATCAGTGCATCAATGTCATTTTCATTTCATCTTTCCTATAATGCCTGATAAAGTAGCGCTTGTGAGCGCAGCGCTGCTTTGATTACTGCCGTTACTGGGGAAACCGATATATATCTGCCGCTCCAAAAGTGCCACCTGCTGGCAGAAAATGAATTTGCATTTTCAATCAGCCTGGCTGCTGTTTTCATTATATATATATATATATATACAGTATATATATGATATATAGGAAGTGCCGCCACACAGAGTGTAAGTCTCTGGGAAACACTGATATATATATATATATATATATATATCGGGGTTTCCCGCCACTTTGACTTCGTTGAATAAACATGAGCTCTGCACAGTTCAAAGTCAAAACGCGGCACGGGTGTATCTTTTTTGAAGGAAACCGACTGTCTTCATAAAAGTTTTGATGTCATTTTCCTTTAATCTTTCCTATAATGCCTGATAAAGCAGCGTTCATGAGCACAACTGTTTTGTATACAGCCGTTACCGGGCAAGCCGCTATTTCTGCTGCACTTAAAGCGCCTCCTGCTGGCAGAGAATTAAATTTGCACTTTCAATAAGCCCTGTCTGCTGTTTTATATTTACATTATATACAGTACATATATACATTTCCCCCAGGGGAAGTGCCGCCACACATATAGTGTAAGTCTGTGGGAAACACTGCATAGTATGAAGAATGCAAACAGTTGCTGCTAGCCATTGACTTCCATAGTATGGAAATAATACAGTGGAAATCAGTGGGGACCAGAAACACAATTCTTCAAAATACATTTCTTTATTTTCAACAGAACATACAGGTTTTGGAATAACTTGAGGGTGAGTAAATCATGGCAGAATGGTCATTTTGTTGTAAACAGCCCCTTTAAATTCATCTAACAAACAGTTAATGGAAATAGCAAATGGAGAAGACTTTCCATTGTCCGTTTTTTTTTTTGCAGAACAAGTTTATTATCTCTTAAAGAATCCTCCAATCATAGCAACACCTCTCCTTCAAGAGCCTCAACAGGACAATCCTCATGTGGCATTTTTGTTTTGAACATCACATCTGCTTTCTCCGTCTCTTTCCTCTCGTCCTGGAAATAGCCTTCATCAGCCATACCAGCACCTATGTGTGGCAAGGTTGTTTTGATCTACATGTCTACCGCCTTCCTCTGTCATCGATGGAAGTATGCTTTCAGATCCCGAGGTCCCTGCTGATTTACGACACTTCTCCTGAGCTTCGGCCGAGAGCTTTCAGCATGCAGCTAACTGACAGCAGATGGAGGCCAGCTGGACTGACCCCAGTCTCAGCTCATGAAACAGTCAACCTCTACACGGGCGAGACGAGTCTTTACCCAAACATCTCCTCTTTTCTTCCACCTCAGCTTCGGAGATTAAAAAATATAAATCATTAGCTTTCATTGCAAAAAGAAAGGACACCGTGACCGTGGCTTTGATGGTGTTTGGACAGACTCCAGCGGAGTCTTCTTTAATTCTTCTGTTGTTTCTTTCATTAAGAGGCTGTTCCTTAGGATAATTTTTACCCAGGAGGTCAAGCTTTGTCTGGTTGGCATGGCTCTGTTTGCCCCTGCTGGTAAAAGTTGTTGCTAAAGCATCTGAAAAGCATCTTTCTCCACTCACAGCCATTCTTATTAGTGGTTGACGGATACTGATTTTGTGAAGGCCGCTATCTTAGACAGCAGGGTGGTAGATGGCCAATATAAAGCTGATACGATATCACACTATTTAATTTAAAGATATAACACTTGCATAAGAATTGCTGAAATTAAATGTATATTTATTTTGCATAATATTTACTAGAAATAAATAATTTGAAATCAATTATATGAAAAAAATGAAACTTGAAATAAAAAATAAACAGATTTATACTTACGATTCTTGATTTTGTAATCTTATTATAATATTTTTCACAAATAAAGAAAATTGTTAAAAATGTGAATAAAAAGGAAGTCAACACTTTAACCAATAGTGCACTTAGTAATGTGTTAATTCTGGGAACCAGGAACAATATTTTTTCAAATGAACATAAGGTAGTGCTTTTATTTAGCATAACATGTACAGAATTTTATGCTAATTAAATTAAAAAATATATATATATTATATAAATGTGTATTTGCTGAATGGTAATGGTAGATTACTTACTAATAATGGAAAATAAAATACTAAATCATAATAAAAATTAGCCAACATTATGCAATATATCGCCTTTGGCGATATATTGCATAACCACTAACTAATATTTCAAATTGTAAACTAGTGGAGGTTCTGATGGATGTCTGAAATGTTTCTGAAACTGGTCAAATAAGTATTCAATTAATTCAGCAAAAATAAAGCAATGCATAGAGAGTGCATGAATGAGTGATCATGATGAACTTTTCACTGTAAAAAAATCATCTCATTTTAATTAAAATCTCTTTTAATTAAATTTGTAATTGCTTAAACAAAATTACTTTATTTAAAATATTAAATCAACGTGGTACCAAAATTAAAGCCTGCAGTGATGCACTGTAATTTTTCAACTACTTTGAATTAAATTAATGCTGGGGAAAAAAAAGAAAAGAAAAAAAATGGACAAATAACAAAATTGGTAAATGAATGGAAACAATCATAATGGTATTTGTTTTATATAATGATTAAAGTGTGACTTTTCCCACAATACAATTTTTCACATAGAATGCAATTTACTGTATTAAATCATCTGCATAAACACTCACCGAACCAATGACACTTTGTAAAGCTTCAAAGCCATCATTTACTGGAAAGACATGATCTTTGCTGTCAGCGATCTTGGCCAGCTAGGAAAAGTGAAAAGTAAATAAATAAATAAAACTATTACAAAAAATTGTTTAAAAGTATATACTTGCTTAAACAAGTGCTAGTCCATATACCCCCCCAAGCATAATTTATCAAAATCTGGTAACACTTTGGCATAAGTGCCAAGATCTAGTTTTAAAGCTTACCATACCACCAAACACAACACACACAAACATACCTGAGTCTCATTGAAATCCTTCACTCCTACGCAGTACACAGAGGCACCCAGGCTGCGAGAGCGATTGGCCTGGGGGAAACACAGAGCAGAAACACTTCAGACACCTGCAAACTATTTTTATTTGTTGGCCGTTAACTGCTTCATCTACAGATCGTGCTTTTGGCACTGCCTGGTGAAGCTGAACATCTATGAAGAGGACGCTCAGGGTAATTTTGATTATTTGATGCTAAATATAATATGTTTGGTGGTTGAAGCTGAATGCAAAAGTGCCGGGGGGGCCTCTTGTGCTTTTAGGGGCCACATTTTTAAAATTCATCTTAACTTACTTTAAGTATTATTCATTCAGTCATTTTTCACCATGTCATGTATCACTGCAATCTCTAGAAGTAATCTATAACTATTTCAAATAAAATGTTTTATCGTGTTTCATTTATTTGACAAATAATTTTGTATTGTAGTGTCAGGGGCATAATTGTTGAGGGGGCACGTGTGAAGGGGCGGACACAGATGTGCAGTTTGTCCTGCAGATGAGGCCAAGCCTCCGGGGGGCACTGCTCAGTTTGCTAGCCCATTACAAATGGGAGAAATTTGTCTACCTTTATGATACTGATAGAGGTGAGTAAAGACACACACAAACACATATACTGTCAGTGGCTGGTCAGTTTTTGCCCAAAAATGAAAATTGTGACTGAAAAGAAGTTATTTTGAGAAATGTCTCAGAGTATTTGGTTGCCAACATTCTTCAAAATATGTTCTTTTGTGTTCTGCAGAAGAAAAAAAGTCATACATGTTTGGAACAACATGAGGGTGAATAAATGATGACAGAACTATCCCTTTGTAGCAACAGATCTTTTCTTCTGTATTTTGATGTGTATCTGGATGTAACAGATTATTGAAAAATAAAAAATGCAGGGTGATTTGGCTCTATGCGTCGGTTGTTGATTGGATTTTGAGGTGTGGGCATTGCACTCAAAAGTGAATGCTTGCATGTGTTGGGGTTTAAGCGGACTAAATGGCCCAGGCCCTGTTTACACCTGCTATTAATATGCATCTTTGTTGATCCGATCATGAGTGGATGACAGTAAACACAAGTGTAAAGGGGGTCTAAATCATTTAGAGCTTGTTAACTTTCAACCACTTCCAGAGGTAGTCAAAAACACATTTCACCTGATTCTTATTATTCTTATCTGTCTACCTACTGACTTAATATGTAATCATTGTAGAACGTGTTGTGAGAAAGTGCACCAAAACCAGGGCCGTCCTTAGGGGGGTGCAAGTGGTGCAGTCGCACCTGGCCCCACAGCGAATGGACCGAGGGGGACCCTCCCCGGAATGCGATGGTGCTTTTAGGGAGCAAAATTTTTAAATTCATCTTAACCTACTTTAAGTATTATTCATTCAGTCATTTTCCACCATGTCATGTATCACTGAAGTCTCTAGAAGCAATCTATAGCAATTTCAACTAAAATACATGTTTCATCATGTTTCATTTATTTGACAAATAATTGTATATTGTAGTGTCAGGGGCATCATGCACTCATTATTTTTGAGGGGGCACATTGAAGGGGGGGGAGGCTCTCATGCTTGTCATGTGACACAGCAGCCACAATACCACTGTATAACTGATATAGGCTTATGTCCCTACTGAAAAAAAAAACAATAAAATCATCACAGAAAAATGTAATGGTTTCCACTTCAAATAACCATTACAAACATTACAAATCACCAACTTTTAACCATTAAAACATTAAAAAATGGTTTTCTGTAATGTGTTTTGGGACATATTCCATTAGGATTTATTGGTTTTAACAAGCCACCAATAGAAGGCAACCAATTACCAGTAGAGACCAACAGAGTCCATTACAGTTTCCCTTAAAACCAATACAAGTCCCATTATAACCAGTACAACCATTACACATTTTCTAATGGTGTCTATTGTTTTTTTTCAGCAGGGGTTTTATTTTATATTTTTTTTGTTCAAAATATTCCCAAAATATATCATGAAACATCTCGATACTTACACTCAAAAATGTGTAAGTAAATGCGTTTTGCACCTTTATAGATTATGTTAGTTGATCTATAATGGGCGATGGGCAAGGTAGCCTAATAGTGTAATCTATTAACGTTGCATAAAAATCCATCTTTTTACTTAAGTACCAGATATGGGTGTCACACCATAAAATATTTTTAATACGACTGACTTTGTATTTAATGTGAATTTAATAAAAACATTGCAAGTTACTAATTATAACACTTTCATTGTACAAAAAGAGTGTTTACATTATCAAAGAACATTTTCACATCAGTCCAGCGAGTTCAAGCACTCTCACAAACTCCCATAATAATCTCTAAAGCGGTTTACACTGTGGAATTAATATCTAACTTACATTCGCACAAATCTTCAGTTTGTTGTTTCTGATGAGAGAATTAGCCAGAGAATTCAGTCAGCCAGCGCAGTGACGAAACAGCGGTGTTTCAGCGGTGACTCATCTGAACGCCTCTGATTGGTCATTGCATTCATAAGCTCAACAGAATCGTGTGTGATTGGTTATAATGCACAGGGCTTTAAAAACGCTTGTGTCTCTGGCTCTGTGCCTGCCAGTCAATGCAGATTTGAATTTAGCAGCTGGTGATGTTTTTCTTATATAGGCCTATATATAGTTTACAGGACAAACAGCGCATTTCACCCAAAATTGTTTGGTGTGATTCCAAATTTAGGGGGGACCAAAGGGGGGGCCAAGCTTGTTGACAGGGCGGACCCCCCCCCCCAGTGAGTGTGGCTGACATTTTGTACATAAAAATACATGTTGATTATTTATATTATTTATAATAGCTCATAAGATTTGCTGTTCTTTATTATTCATTTGTTTAAGCAGTGGTTCTTATTGGTTGATACTGTTGTAATATTGTTACCATCTGTGTTACAGGATGATGAAGAAAAGAGAAATGTGTGATGTAATTCCCAGCATGCAAATTAATTCAAATGACCCTGACTTCACCTCAGTGAACACCAAAGCAAACATTGCTTTCAGTGACTACACCCCTTGTGAAAATGAAATACACTTAATTGCACTGAATGCGCACTCGTAGTGTACTTCAAATCCTAAAAAGTCTATAAAAAACTTGCAGATAATATAACATTAATGAAATAAAATAGCATTTGAGTGAACTTAAAATGCACTTTGTAATAATGTCAAATTAAAAGTGTTAAAGTACATTTTACATCTTTATGTTTTAATAATATTTTGTCATGCTTTAAGTACACTTATGATTATGATGTGTAACATACTAAAGCACAGGTAAAGTACTTCATTATAATTATAACTGTAGTGTGTTTTTAATGTATTACTTAACATTTTTAAATGTACTAAATTGCCATTTCATCATACAAATGTGTAATTACAAATATATTTAAGTACATGACATACAAGTTACAACAGAAATTGCAATAAAGCATATTTTAGTTTACCAAGTAGAGTACATTTGGCAGAACCCTTTAACCATATTTCAAAGAAAATAGATTGCATTATAAATTACAAAGATGTACTTAAGTCCTACTTAAGAGGGTCATAGTTGCAGCTAATAATTGCAATTGATACAAATTTAATCTACGATACATTTTTATGAAATTGCATTAACATGCAATCAAGTGTCCAAAAACATTACATTCAGTTTGTGTTTAAATATATTCTTTTAAAGTATTATTTATTTCCATAATAACCTCTCTTTTTTAAATTAAGATAAAGCATACTTCTTTTTACAAGGTACTGTCAAACCCGCCACTATTTTTCTTTCTCTTCTTCAGTCTTTCATCATTCTCACCTCTCTCTCAGCGTAATAGAAGAGATCTTCATGCAGTTCTCCATCTGTGAGGGCGATGATCACACTGGCTGTGCGGTATCCTTCATACAGAAACAAAGTTTGCATCATGTTTGCAACTTAATGCCAGATTTTGATTGACACATTTTTGTATCCGTTTTACAACATGAGGAACATGCAACATAGTGAAACTAGCTAGTAATTTTGATTTCTAAATGAACAATATGAGAGGGATAAACAGTAAATATGTTCAATTGAAACAGCCTAAACCAGCTTAAGAGGGTCATAGTTGCAGCTAATAATCGCAATTGATACAAATTTAATCTACGATACATTTTTATGAAATTGCATTAACATGCAATCAAGTGTCCAAAAACATTACATTCAGTTTGGGTTTAAATATATTATTTTAAAGTATTATTTATTTCCATAATAACCTCTTTTTTTAAATTAAGATAAAGCATGCTTCTTTTTACAAGGTACTGTCAAACCCGCCACTATTTTTCTTTCTCTTCTTCAGTCTTTCATCATTCTCACCTCTCTCTCAGCATAATAGAAGAGATCTTCATGCAGTTCTCCATCTGTGAGGGCGATGATCACACTGGCTGTGCGGTATCCTTCATACAGAAACAAAGTTTGCATCATGTTTGCAACTTAATGCCAGATTTTGATTGACACATTTTTGTATCCGTTTTACAACATGAGGAACATGCAACATAGTGAAACTAGCTAGTAATTTTGATTTCTAAATGAACAATATGAGAGGGATAAACAGTAAATATGTTCAATTGAAACAGCCTAAACCAGCTAAATTGGCTCAGCTGGTCACCAGCTTAAATAACCAGTTAAGACCGCCTTGCAGGTTACCACAGTATAAGCATCAATTTCATACCCCAGATAACACACGTACGACTGCAGGATGTCTGTTGAAGATCGCTTGATCTGGAAAGCATCTGCTGTGTACAAACATCTGACAGACTTCTGCAAGATGTCAGCTTTAGGTACATTCTAAATCATAAACATCTTGAAGACATCTAATAAACATCTATATGACATCTAATAGGAAACGTCCTATAGATGTATTGCAGATGAGCAAACACTCTAAAACAGGGGTGCCCAACCCTTTTCCTGGAGATCTACCTTCCTGCAGAGTTCAGTTCCAACCCTGATCAAACACACCTGTCTGTAATTATCAAGTGTGCCTTCAGACCCTAATTAGTTGGTTCAGGTGTGTTTGATCAGGGTTGAATAAACAGTAAATATGTTCAATTGAAACAGCCTAAACCAGCTAAATTGGCTCAGCTGGTCACCAGCTTAAATAACCAGTTAAGACCGCCTTGCAGGTTACCACAGTATAAGCATCAATTTCATACCCCAGATAACACACGTACGACTGCAGGATGTCTGTTGAAGATCGCTTGATCTGGAAATCATCTGCTGTGTACAAACATCTGACAGACTTCTGCAAGATGTCAGCTTTAGGTACATTCTAAATCATAAACATCTTGAAGACATCTAATAAACATCTATATGACATCTAATAGGAAACGTCCTATAGATGTATTGCAGATGAGCAAACACTCTAAAACAGGGGTGCCCAACCCTTTTCCTGGAGATCTACCTTCCTGCAGAGTTCAGTTCCAACCCTGATCAAACACACCTGTCTGTAATTATCAAGTGTGCCTTCAGACCCTAATTAGTTGGTTCAGGTGTGTTTGATCAGGGTTGGAGCTAAACTCTGCAGGAAGGTAGATCTCCAGGACCAGGGCACCCCTGCTCTAAAAAATACATCTTGCAGATGTAAATGCAGTCGTCAAATAGACATCTCCGTGATGTACGCGTGCTATCAGAGACTGGTTTTAGGACCCAAAAATGAAATTTCTGTCATCATTTATTCGAGCCTGATCTCATAACGAAAACGTACCTGTGGGAACTTTTTAGCAAGACGCTTCCACGGGTACATTTTTGTCATGAGATCAGGTTACACTCAAATTGTTGCAAACCTGTATGAATTTCTTTCTTCAGTTAAACACAAAAGCAGAACAAAGAGTTGACAATAGCCATTGACTTCTATAGTAATTATTTTTACATTTTATGTGTAACCCCTCCAGATCTGCTCCCTTCATTCTTGCTCTGCGCGGGATTTGGCATTTTCGGGATGGGAGGCGGGTATGCTAGCAAGGATGCTAAAGACCACAGTCTCTAGCATCAGTCGCTAGTGCACTTCTTGAGATTAGGGGAGTGAGGTTTACCTGCATAGCACAGCCTACAATGGGAATCAATGGCTACCATCAACAGTTTGGCTGCCAACAGTCTTCAAAATATCTTCTTTTGTGTTTTACAGAAGTAAGAAATTATGAGTAAGAACATGAGGGTGAGTAAATGACGACAATTTTCATTTTTGGGTGAACCATCTCTTTAAGATGGTCTACCTGCAACTATAACAAATTTAACCATTTCTTGCCAGTAATCTAAAACCAGTTAAGACCAAATTGAAGATTACTTAAACTAGTCTAAACTGTTTCTTCTTTCAGCAAGATGTGTTTGAAATGGGCCTACCCTCAGTGTTACCATAGTAAATCTGTTCGCTGGCCTAGTAGCACAAAAAAAAGAGAAAAGAAAAACATCAGAAATATTGTAATCTCATGCAGATCAAACAACATTCACAGTAACTGGTTATTTCACAGACAGATGAGGAATAAATCTACCCAGCTGTGAAAGATCATTTAAAAACTCAACAGTTTTATGTTTTTAGGTCCATTTGTCTGAGAAGTGGCCAAACATAACCTTCGTGAAGGATATTTCAAGCTATTTGTCATAGCTGGGTGGGCGGTACTGATGCCAAGATGGTTCCTATTGGCTCACTCACCCGCTGAATGCCTTCATGCATAAAAGTATCTCCACCTGGCTGCACTTTCTCGAGTTCCTCCAAACCTTTCCGTATTTGTTCCCTGACAAATGCACACAATGAAAGAGAGCGAAAAGGTCATGAAAAATACCTCATGGCCACAATCATGCTCTATCCTTGCTACTTCTGTGCAATGTTTTGCTGTAACCACCAAACACTGGTAACACACACAAGGATTCAGGAGACCAGGAGTGTAAGTTTATTCTGGATGGAGTAGATTTTCAACAACTACAGACAAATTATACCATGAATAATATTCATTGGCACTGACAACCATTGACAACCAGCACTTTTCTGGAAACATGGAAAAGCCCTTGTCACAAAGAATTTGGCATACAAACATGACATGTTTTAAAGGAATAGTTCACTCAAAAATGAAAACTCTGTCATCATGTACTCATCCACAAAGTGTTCCTGTTTGTTGATAACCAAACAGTTGCTGGTAGCCATTGACTTCCATAGTATTTTTTTCTCTACTATGGAAGTCAAAACTACCGGCTACTATTTGGTTACCAAAATTCTTTAAAATATCTTCTTTTGTGTTTAACAGAAGAAGCAATCTCATACAGGTTTGGAACAACTTGAAATTGAATAAATTATGAGAGAATATTAATTTTTAAGTGAACTATCCCTTTAAGGAGACGATCGTCAAGACCAGGGAATGCTTACAGCAGATGTGCCATATTCTTTATGGGTCATTAATTGTCACATAACTGATTCTGACAGATTTGGCCTTCATTTTTGGTAACAGAAGTGCAAAACTACAGTCATTTGTTGGCACAAACCCATACTACAGTCAAAACACTTCCAGACTGCAAAAGTTGATAGGTCTGCAATGCATTTGTGCAAACTACTTGAGTTAAATCACAAAATAATAAAAATAACAATTCACTCACCTGTCTTCTGTAAGCCGCATTAAAATCTTGCCCTGATCGGAGAACACAATGAAGGACATCCGCAGCTGAGGGCTAGATACAATACCAAACATGTATGTTAGACTGAAATTATCATTTTAAAGGCATATTTTAATTTAATGTGATCCCACATATTCCTATTTGTACTTCACTAAAATAATTTACGGAACATTTATTAAGCCAAATAAAAATTAGAGATGCAACTAGTCACTCAATATTTTAGTTAAACATGTTTTTTTCATTATTTTTCATCCACATAATATAGAAAAAGTTATGCAGACTCACAGATTTTTGTGAGACTCTGACTTTGCCTACCTTATGAACTTATGGGCCAGATGTTCCACAAAGTTATATATTTCATTCCAGTGATGCTGCACACTTCCTGATCTGCAGGAAGAAACAGACATATTGGACACTTATAGTTGAACATCAAGGGAGCAATAAAGATTCACAAGCTTAGAGGAATAGCCGAGTTTGAGATTTACAGCTGTGCGAAAAATATATTTTTTTAAAGCAGCATTTCAAGAACTACATTGACACATTTTTATGCTCCTTTGAAGGAAATCATTCGAGTATCCAGCATCTTCCCAGAACAGCTGTCTGTCTGAATGAGTGTGATGCCAGCTGTCAATATTCCACTGACTTTGAATTAAGACAAAGATCAACAATCGTGATACTTATTTCAGTAGTAATGCATGTGAAACTTTACTTTGAAATTTAAATTAAATGTAAACTATTTTCTTGTTTGTTTTTGCCTTCTATCTGTATTTCAATTTACATTTGACTAGTTTGACCTTTATGCAGGATTCTGTGCAGGAAAACTCCTCTAAAACAAATGCAATTTATTACATTCACAGAAAGTGAAGTGCCAGTCATATCTGGGAAATCTGCCTGTGAAAGAACTTGTGCACTTTCCAAAGCTACATTTAAGAGAGAGCAGTTTAGGTTGAGTGTTGCAATATTTGTATTGTGTGGTAAGCCATTTATAAAAGCAATAAGGTACTCAAGGTGTGCTGTATTGAATTTGCATGATTTGGCACACTCTAAATCACACCAGATTATCTTCACAAAATGGCACAGTGACACTTTCATAGATACATTCATATGTAATATGATTTGAAAGCAACAACTACATGAAAAAAATCAATCAAGCATTGCTTAATGGTAGAACTTTAGAAATTCAAACTGAAATGTGACAACCATGTATGAATGAAAATGTATGCATATTTTTCATGTTAAATAGAATTATAATTCTATATTCTATATTCATAAACAGAATTATAGGCTGCTGGTGTTGAGACATTATTGGTCATTCAGTGTTCAACAATAATACTGATAGGATAATACTAATCTTAATGCAAAGTTCTGTCATGAAACTTTAGATGGTGCAGACTGATAGGTCCTTAAATCAATCTAATAGTAATCACATCGCTATCTGTATGGCACATTGGATTTGTTTTATTTGCATCAGCAGCCAATGAGCTTGCTGCTCAACATTCAAATACTTGGCTAGTGCTTGCTGTAGCAGTTGCAGTGTTTCAAAAACCCTCCACCTCCCCAGCTCCACCTGTATAGATCTGCTACAGGGTGAGGTCATGTATGTTATATGAGGGTTATTTCATATATGGTATATGTTCAGCAGCAGTATTTCCTACATGCTAATAACAGCACATCTGTGGATGTATTGGCACTAGCAAGTCTTGGTTCTTGCTCTGCCACAGCAGCAGAGTAGCAGATCTATTTCGCTGCCATGCACTGTATATTACCATGATAAACTCTCTGAGAGTTTAATAACTATATAAATGTGCTAAGCGTCTGATGAGTTACTGAGATTAATGAATATTTATTACAGTGTCTACATACTGATTTGCTGAAATCACTCTCCAGGAAATGAGTTTGACACTTAGATCCAAAACTCTGGACTACCCTGCGCATTCACTGACAGGAGTAGTGCACTAACTGCGCTGCAAAAACACAGAGAATGAAACTCTCAAACGTGAAGTCTGTGCTAAACTTATTCTTAGCCTCTAACTCAATCACTGGCCAATTAAATATACCAGTTTATTAGTCAATGGCTAACAATAGACAATATTTAGTCACCATTTTATGACTTTAGTCACATATGAGTGACTGACTTGGAATTTATAATTCAATAGGTGGCTATTGTTATAGCCACCTATTGAATTATATTTATGTTTCAACAACGATTTGGAAAATAACAATATCATTTGAAAAGCTGATATAAACTGCATTATGTGCAATTTAAATGTTATTATACAAATCAGTTTTGTTTGAGTGTTGATTATGGTTATTGATTATCTAAAAATGAATAGCAACTGAATTTGGACTCAACAAATTTGGAATTTGTTGTTGTTGGTTTTTTTTGTACTGTACCTTCAATATATCCCAATAAATCAGTATTGAATCAAAATTGAAATCAAATCGAATTAATAACTTGTGAAACAAAATCTCTGTCAATCCCCAGCTGTACAGTTAATGTTTTCTTACTTCCAGTAATAACTACCATTATTTGTCACTGTGCCAGATGTTATTTCTATGATGCCATGTCTAGTGCAGAGCTACGACCATTGATTCATTCAAAATGATGTACGTGTTATAATGTAACTATGCCTAGGACCAAATTGCATCCAGATGATCTTGTTTTTGCATGGTAATGCAGTTTTAAAATCCAGGTCCTGTGAATGCCATCAAACCTATCTCAAAGTTCACATTTCAATCAATGGGTTTTTGGTTAAATGCCTGAAATAAGGTCTGGGTTTAACACAAGCAAAAAAAAAAAAAAAAAAAAAAACATCAGTAGTGATTTTTAAAGCTTTTACTTCAGGTGGTTTCTAACAAGTGGCTAAATGGGCTACAGAGGTTGTCAGGGACTCTAAACTTCAACACAATGAACAGGTAAACTCATACTAACTAGTTCGCTTTCACAGCGTCATTGTGTTTACAATCACATTCTTGTAAACTATTCAACTCAAACTTTAAAGGAAAGACTGAAAGAGTTGTTGAAAGTTTGTTGTCAAGTCATTGACTGTGGTGCAGTTTAAAACCTACGTTTAACTATTTACTTCTAGTGACTATTTAAGCTTCACTGTGGTTATCAAGATTATTATAATGAACAAGGTGTTTTTTGTAGGTCACAGAGCTTATCTTCTGCAATAATCCAAAAGCCAATAGAAAACTCTGGTCACACTTTAGTGTGGGGACCAGTTCTCTCTATTAACTATCTATTATGTACACATTCTGTCTCAGTAAACTTCTAATTTTCTGCTTATTAATAGTTAGTAAGGTAGTTGTTAAGTTTGGGGTAGAGATTAAGGGATCTAAAATATGGTCATGCAGTATAAGGCATTAATATGTGCTTTATAAGTACTAATAAACAACCAATATGCTAGCAATATGTATGCTAATAAGCAACTAGTGAGAGAATCCTATGGAAATCTGAAAATACGGTTTTGAGACAAGGAAAAAATAATACAAAAAAAGGCATTTGTAAAGTAACAAAAATAAGTGATGATGGGACAGTCAGTAAAAAAGTTTTACAAGACACTTTTCTATAACAAGAACAAAATAAAAATAAAAATCTGTTAGTTTGAATAAAAGCCGCCCACTGGGACATAAAAATTCTTGTAGTTGAAGAAACACAAGAGTGTCCAAATACCCTTTGGGGCCACTAGCTGAGTTTAGACGTTAACGTTTAGAATTATTAATTGTAATGAGATGATGTGAGATAATGTGGCAAACGTATCTGGATTGTTTAGGCACGACCTCAGTCCTCCTCTCTTCCTATGCCTGTCTTCCTCTCCCTCTCACTGTTTTTCCATTGTTAGTGAGATCCAGGCCTCTAAAGCAGCCAAAGCAGGCAGGGTTTGGGACATCTGGAGCTGATGGTGAAATGGTTTAACAAGAGGCAACCGGTATGTGTGTGCGAGTGTATAAAAGCGAAGGATTTATTTATATAGCGATAACTCTTAATGAACTAGCCTTCATACAGCTGCCCAAGATTGCCTATTCATTTTCAATGAAATTGGACTGGATTGTCACGTTATTCAGTTCCTCCCTGACCCAAAGGTTTAGATGATTCTTGGGAATGGATGAGAGCGCAAAACCCACCCCCAACCGCATCTCTCGGCTTTCATTTAAGACTGAGAACAGTTCAATGAGGGCATTTCACTTAAGGCTGGCCTCAAAACAATAGCAGTTAGCCTAGCAGCCATTATGTTTCACATTATATTTAACCTTTGCTCAGGAATAGTTTGGTGTTCAGAGCCAGATGACTAATAAAACCATAATAAAATCATAATGTGAAGGCTTGGTTATAAACTGGAATAGAAGTATTGAATGCTTTACTGTACAATTAAGCAAAGTATAATGTATAGTCAGCCGGTCACACAAATCATTACAGTGTTGTAAAACGTATAGAATCTTCATAAGCAAAACTGACTCAAGTTAAAATAGCTCAACATAAAAATATGTTCTAAAATCTACTGATATAACTACTTAAGTACAGGTAGGCCTACTTTTTTTTAAATAATGCCACGACCTATTGTAACAATGGCAGCCTAGCTGAGTGCTGGAGTCTATGTATTCATACAGTCATAAACTCCTAATTCAGCAATACTGACATTATAAACATAAATGATGTTGAAATTTCATAAATGATCATTTACAAGGGCAGGGGTGTCAAACGCACCACCTGGAGAGCCATTGTCCTGCAGAGTTTAGCGCAAATCCTAATTAAACACACCTGAACCAGCTAATGAAAGTCCCAAGGAGTGCCGGAATCTTCCAGGCAGGTGTGTTGGAGCTGGTTAGAGCTAAACTCTGCAGGACATCCAAAATCACTTACTGTCCGAGTAGGTACCACATTTGAACTCAAACTTACTTCATGACCATTACAAAATGATGTTCTATATAGTATGAATATGGATAGTTTGAACTAAATTTGGACATACTACATCCACCATGTTGTTACTATCACGTGATCTACCAGCTTCAGTTATGGTGCTTCACTGCCATTCATAAATCCTCTCCCGAGGCCTCATGGGATTGTAGTGTCATCGACTGCACACTTTAGAATCTGGGCGGAAGTAGTAAGTCATCTGGGTACTTTTCGCCTATGGTTTTTTGAAAACAGTGATTTCGGACATACTACTCTTCCAGCATACTGTTTTTCCACATACTGTATAGGAAAGTATTTGATTTCCTATGGTACGCAGAGTGGCCCTCCGGGAGCTGAGTTTGACACATGCGATCCCCTCTGCTACCCACAAACCCACCTGCAGGTGGCGACTTACTTCCAGCTTCACAAGGTCCTCTGGAGGTCCCTTATGCGAAACCTATGGAAGCCTATTTCCGCCACTAAATAAAAA